TTGTTTTTTGGTTTTTTTTTTTTTTTTTTTTTGAGACAGGGTCTCGCTGTGTAGTCCAGGTTGACCTCGAAGTCACAGCAATCCTGCTACCTCAGCCTCCTGACTGCTGAGATCACAGGAATGCACCACAATGCCTGGCAGAGCGTATCACAATTTTCATTGGCAACCATAGTCACAGGAGTTGGTTTTGTTTTACTTTGGTTATCAACAAAAACTTCCACAGGTTAGTTCTTTCTGGCCCTCCTTCAGGCTTACAAATTAAAAAGTAATTCTGGGGGTCAGGAATTTGGTTCAGGGGTTCAGCCACCTGCCTTGAAAGTTCAATGTCAGCACCTCAAGTGCAACTTCAGCATTCCTTTACCCCTGCAATCATGGCTCCAGGCCAAGGGTTCATAGAAGGAAACACACTTGCATCTGTGTCTCTCGAGAAGGGAGAGTAAACCTGAGATGAGTCTATTAGAAAGGAGATATTTTAAAATTTGGGAGCACAGCTGAATATCAAAAGTAAATTATACCATAAGCCAGATGTTCCAAGAAATTCTTTTTCTTTTTTCTTTTCTTTTTTTTTTTTTCCTGAAAAAAAGTTTTAGTTCGTAAAGAAAACAATGAACAAAAATTGCTATCACAAAATAGCAATTCGTGGTTCATGGTTATTTAAAATGAGCCCATCTGAAAATAATCAAAGATGTGCACAATGATTTAAATAGGGAATTGTTCATTTCAGTGTTATTTATCACATGTAAAATGTAGAAATATCCCAAGTGGCTTACTACAAAAGATTTGTTATATAAATTATGGTACTTTCATTTGATGGGTTGCTGTATGGCCATCAAAAACTGTGTTGCTGAAGAATATTCAATGACTTAAGAAAATGTTTGCAATATTTTTACGCAAGAAGAGCAGGTTACAGAGTAGGATATATGATATTATGTTACATCGCTCTAATCCAGATGTCAGCTAGAACCTCCTCAACTCTGAAATCCAGACAAGATTGGAGCAAAGGCCCAATTCTGTGGGCTTCGTCAAGCTCAAGTTCTAGATATCGACCATCTTAAAGTCCCTTCTACCTCTGCCATTTTGACTTCAGTTTACAACTCAACCCCTCTCATACGCTGGCAAAACAAATTCTCAATTTGGAGACAAGGCCTCTGGGAGGTAACTGGGTCCTGAGGATGGAGGCCTCATGAATGGGACCAGGGCTCTTGATAGGGAAAACTTTAATAGCGAAAATTTAGGAAATGTCACAATGTAAAATAACTTCTGACCCTCACTCTGCTTAGTTCAGAATTAACCCGTACCAGAGACACCTAGTCTCCCACAAAAGTTTATAAGTGAAAAGAACCATTGTTAGCTTTGTTAATCAAACAAGCTCCCTTCCCCCTGGCTAGAGTAGGTAATTGAATGAATCTAAAAGGTGACTTCCCTAACAAAGAACTGCATCCTAGTTGAAATTCAACTGCCTTGCTATCATGTTTTGGGTATCTGTGAAAATGCAGTGTAGCCAACTGAGTAAGATCAAAGCTGTAAAACCCTATAAAAGTAAGAGTTGTAGCCTAATGGGGGAGTTGAACAGGGCACCGGCATTAGGTGTGATCAATCCCCATCGATGCAGTAAACTTTTTATTTTACTTCCATTCTGCTGCCTCTCTGTGTGTCACTTGCCATCTCCTTCCATAACATTATGAAAGGAAACTTTCAGAGTTCTTTTGCCCTCTTTCTGCCAACCAGCAGCTGGTAGCATGGGATGTACAAGAGGGCCCTCCCCAGAAACCAACCACACTGGCACCCTCATACCAGCCATCCACCCTGCAGAAGTAAGGCCCTGGTGGTCTAAATTATTTTTTTATAGAAGCCCCAAATGACCAAGACACTACCTATCAAAAATAAATGGTTTTCACAAGGTACTGTGAACATGTTTATGTGAATTAAAACAAAAACTCATATTTTTTCCTAACAGCTAATTATCAAGTATGATTTGGGGCATATGACTAAAAAAATATTCAAATACTTTGGCTTGACTGATTTGTTTGGTAATGTGGAATGGCTTTGCCAATTACATGGTGAGTAATTTCTGTAAGTTCAATGGTTAAATCTTCAATTGCAAAATTGTTTAACAATATATTTGAGATGCATAAAATGAAAATACTTTACCAAAACTATTCCATTCACAATACGATATTTGTGTTGAAATCAACATTCAATAACACTATAATACTTTGATTTTTTTCCATTCTGAGTATATCTAGTTTAAAAGATCCTGCTGAGTAGAAGAATAACAATATAAATAACAGTAATTTGATATGTGTTTAAAGTCATTTTGGTCTACTTTCCAAAAATTGAGAAGGGTTGAGTATAAAGTCTTTCGTAAGTAATATTGTTTCCAATTCTCACTTTTCAGCAAAATTGAAAAAAGATCTAACCTAGTTGTCAATTGATCATTAAATTTAATCTTGGGCAAACAATTGAAAAGGAATTTTCAAAATTGAATAACCCAACTACTTTCTGAGTGTCTTTATTTTGAAAGGATGTTGAGTTTTGGCTAATGTTTATTCCCCCACTATGAATATAATCATATGGTTTATTTTCCTTAGTCCATTAACATTGTGAAGTCAATAGATGATTTTTAGAAATATTAGGTAACTTTCAGTGATACATTTATAAAAATAAAAAGATCACAATAGAATTCATGCTGAACCCTGTCTTATTCTACTAGTAAGTAACATTCATCCATGAATACATGAAAAAATTGAAGAAAAACCATAAAATATAATTAATCCCATTTTATTTTTTATCTTCAATAGTTAAAATTTATGCCGGGCATGGTGGTACATGCCTGTAGTCCCACCACTCAGGAGGTTGAGGCAGGAGGATTGCTATGGTTCCAGGTCAGACTTAACTACATAGTGAGACCCTGTCTCAAAATAAATTTTTTTAATAATAGTATTTTCACTTGTTGTGTATGAGTTAAGGCCATCCTAGGAAAAATTTGATGCCAAATACCAGGACATTAAAAACTAAATATATATATACATACGTATTTATTACAGAGAAATAGAAAGAGGGGCTAATAACCTTTCAAGCATAAAATACATTTCACACAATAAAATTCTGTGAAAGGGGCAGAAGAGAAATATGAGTGCAAGAAATATGCAAATTTTCCAACTGCTAAAAAGACAATGTCTTTAAAATATTTTAAGATTTTAGAAGTATTTAACTGCCAAAGTATTTAGATTCCCCTGAGTATATTTAAGAGTGATATAATGGTTTGCCTTAAAATGTCAACATCTGTAGTATGCTAGTTATCCCATTCTTTACAACTACTTAGATAGACACTACACAAACAAAAAAACCAGACATCAGCTTGAAAATGTGGAAGAAAGAGGGTATGTTTTTAAAATTTCCTTTAGAGATAATGAACAAAAAAAATTCAAAAATCCTTGATTTAAAATATCTAGAGGCAAGCCACCCCATTATGTTAGTCTGCTTTCTCTCACTAAGTGAAATATCTGAAGCAATTAATTTAAAAAGACAAAAGAGTTACTTTGGCTCCTAGTTCTGGAGGTTTCTGTTAAAGCTCAGATGTCCCCGGTGTCCCCGGTGCTTTTGGCCTCTGGCAAGGGCAGCACAGTCAGGGTACAAGCAGAAGCACAGGGCAGAGAAAACTGCTCACCTCATGAGCCAAGAAACAAAGCAAGAAAGGACTGGGGGGGTGCTTCCAGAAGCATGTCCCTCAGTGACCTAAAGACTCCCCCCAAGCCCCCAAGGTCCAACCACCTCCCAATACCACCACCCTAGAAATCAAGGCTTTGACACATGGACCATTAGGGGACACTACCCACATTCAAATTATAGGACCCATTTATTACAAACATCCAAGACAATATTTTAAACTAGACAGAGTCATCCTAGCCAATCATATCCTGGCTTGTCATTCAAGGTCTCTTCCAAAGAGATAACAAAGAAGCATTCATGAAACCTACCCCACATACCTGGTCTGTGGGTGAGACTCTCATTGTCCCTCAGTGTGTGTGGCTGAAGACCCCGACTCAGTAGGTTCCTGTTCACTTACCTTATCTGCTGTCTCCCTGCAATTCACACTCCTCTGTGTCCCAGCCTCATAGAAATACTGGTGAATCTCTGAGACACCACCTCTATCATGCTCTGTGCCCTCCACTTTTCCCTTCTTCTGCCACCTCCTTTGTCCTCTAGGACTCAACTTAGGTATCACCTCCAAAAGTAAGCCTTCTGTCATCCTCTGGTTGGATTAGAAGCCCCTCTTCCGTTCCGAAATAACCCTCATCCCGGGTTCCCTCCATCGTAACACCTTAGAGCACTGAACCTCCAAAAAGGTAATGGAAAGCAACTTGCCTGGGGTGTTGGGTAGGAGTGTCAACTCCTGGCCTCAGAGGAAAATGAGGCCAGGACACCATGCTTAGGTCACAGCCAGACGATCTGTTGTTGGTGGTACAATGAATGCATCTTGAGAAATTCCAACGTTATGCAATCAATCATTCATTTACTTGGCTGAGTCCACATTAGCTTCTGAACTCTTGGAAGGCAGAGAATGTCTTATTAATCATCATCTCTTTTTACAGTGTCAAGAGCATGACCTGAAAGTGAATTAACTAACTAGCCAATACTGCCATTTTTACTATCTCCTGTATCATGGCTTGCATTAGCCAAAGTCAATTTACCCATCATGTTCTTCGGAATTGATCTAAACCTGTGCAATGAGTTTAATCGGCTTTACTCATATGAATCAGAAGCTGTGTCTCTCTGATCATTAAAAAATAAATCATCCCAATTTTTTCAGTGACTTTTTTAGCTGACACAAAACTTTCAGAATCTAGAGTCCCTCGAACGCAATGAAGAGCTGAGAATTCTTGCCCCAAACAGACTACCAGCACCTGTAAATTCCATCTAACTGCCATAGCTGATGAGTATGACCCAAATATAGGATAAATGTTAAAATTTCAAAAAACTGTTACAGTAAAAGATAAATTGCTACTCATCCCCTCAAAATGCTCCCTCTCCCTTCAAACACACTTATCCTTTTCTGAAGCAGTTCTGAAGTTTCTCTGGAAGTGTGATCAAAATTAGAGGGAATGCTGCTGCCCAGTGACATCCAATGAAGAGGCAGCTTGTAAAAACACTTTGGTGCCTCCTCATCCACCTTATTTGCTGGCTCTGGCACCATGTGACTGCTGGCTCTTCCCCAAAGTCAAGATGACCATGAGAGGAAAATGTTTTGAATACATTTGATACGTTAGGGCAGCCATAACAGCACAACTAAAGACGCTCATGAAGGAGGACTTCTAGAACGGTTTCGGAAAGTGGCAGGAGTGATAGAATAAGTGTGTTTGAAGAGAGGGGTAGTATTTCCAGGGGTGTCAATGACAATGTGTCTTTTACTGTAATGAATTTTTAAAATTTAAACATTCACCATATTCTAAATCACACCTCATTTGTAACTGTCTCCCTTAATTGAACAAGAACAAGAACAATGCACCACTTATACAATAAACTAGCTAACACATGTATGGAATCCAGAAGAGTACAGAGTTTACTGGTACTATGCATCAAGCCGTAGCATCTACAGAGGGGAGAATTCTGGAATGACCTCCCTCCCCAACTCAGGTCACCTCTCCATACTTGTGCACTGGCTGAGGTGTCCGGTGATCTCCGGCCACTCCACAGGGCCACCCCAGTGATAAGCAGGAAACTTTTCCACTGGTGGTTTTTCTTTTCCTGTCTATATTCCCAAGGCTTCATGGTCCACATTGTCCCTTTGGTCCCCACACCTTCCCCTGCAATGACCCATTTCTTGCCTTGGTATCTTACCCAAGGCTCTATCTCCCTTCATCTCATGTCACAGGACCTGGAGGAACAGCACTGGGGCGAGATGTCTCTGGACCCTGGGAGAGGAAGAAGGGAACTAGAAGGTAGTGCTATAGGTTGGCCGAGAACACACAATGCCTAAAAGATTCTCAAACCCTGCAGGGAGTCACCATTAACTTTCTGATGCTCTGGACTGTTACTCAGTTAGAAGGCCACCAAGAAATCTGGGAGGTGGCAAAGGGAACGTAAAGAGAGAAGAAATCCAAGAGACTTTGCAAATCGAAACCAAACTAATCTGAAAATAAGGGACAAGCGGAGGTGTCAAAATGGCACAGCCAATGCCACATGTTGCCAGAGGTAACGAATCCACTTTGGGGGGTATTAGATTAAGCTAAGCTGGACCATTCCTCGGAGCACTTTCCAGTGATGAGTTCATAAACATTTGGCAGCAACCAGCCTAGGTTCAGAGCTGGAAGACATCAAAAGAATTGAAGGGCTCTTTTAGGGAACGGATGTTGATATAAAAGAAAAAAGACTGATGGCTGATTCTTGAAAAGAAACCAAAGAAACAAAAAGTGGAAAAAAAAAAGGAGAGAAGAGGAGGAGGCGGAGGAGGAGGAGGAGGGGATCACAGGACATAAATAGAGAAGTCTGGATGGAAGGAGAAAGAACTTTATAGGAGAAAGGATGAACAATATGGTCAGCGAAAGGGCAATTCAGATACAGGATGGAGAGGAAAGGTATTCAGCAAAAGGAAAGTGAAAATAAATTGTGAGTTTTAATTTGTCTTATGTAACTGAATCCCTAATGAAACATCTGTGCTAGAATTGCAGCAGTGGCAGAGAACGAGTCCGTGGCACTCTCGGCACCTGAACAGCATCCACACTGCTTTCCAAGGACCCACCTGAATGTTCCTTACAAAGAAGGGAGCAGAAATAAAAGGAAACTCATCTCCTCACTGTGCACCATCTATTAATATTATATTGTCCCACTGTGCTCTCTGAGGGAGAAAAACATTCAGGTCTGCTGTGGGCTAGGTAAACACCCACTAAATATTGATGCATGCATAATTAGAATGACTAAAATAATCCTGGCATAAAATTATCCTCACAGTCAGAGGAGAGACAAAATGGAGTAATTTGATCATGAAAATTAATACAAGCCGACTCTCAATTTTCAATGCAGCTAATTGGAAACCACTTATTATTCAAACCTCACTTTGCCTCCTGCTTTATGCTCTTTTCTCCTTGCCCCAAGAAACAGGACTGGTGAGAGGAAGGCCCCAGGAGCAAAGCTGTCATTTTGAGATAATGCAGCAAAACAATTATGCTTATTTTTCTAAAGGGATGGCTCTTAAACATTCACCCACACTGATTTCACCCCAGAGGACTTGCTACTGTGGATGTGGCCGAGGTGAAAGGTCATCCTGTCTTCTCCAATTAGAGGTAGAAATATTCTAGGCAGTCAGATGGGGATAGGCCCTCAAAGGATCAGTACAGAAGATAAGAATGCATTCCAACTGTGTCTGGAGGCACATTTGTTGGAGACCAGGCCTCAAGATAAAGACAGAATGACGAGGCCTACATACCTCCCAGAGGGATAAACAATGTACTATAATCAGCATTACCTGGCCTGATAAAGTCTACATAGGTATGGGTCACCCTGGTGGGTGACCAGGACCTCCTGACTCATCTGTTCCAAAAAAGGTCCTTGTTCTTTCCATGTACACTTGCTACACAACCTACTTCCCCACTGGATCAATATTACCTATGCAGCTATACTTGTAATCTTTTTTTTTTTGATACCGGGGATTGAACTCAGGTCCTTGTGCTTGTCAGGCAGGCACCAGAACCACTGAACTAAATCCCCAGCCCTTATACTTGTAATCTTATTGGTTGATCGTAGTTGTGTCCCACACTGTACCCAGCTTGTGAGTTTGTACCCACTTCATGATTTTGCTCTATAAAATTTCCTCTGTAAAGTGGACTCATTGGCAACCCATTTTCCAGGTCCCCTCCTGTCTCTCTCAGGAGCTCTCTTCTCACAATAAGATTTTCCTACTCTTAACCTCCATTTTTCCTCAGAATTTATTCTTTCATTCTGGAAATGTGAACTCAACACATCTAACATCTCTCCAATTGGGAGTTACATTATTTCCCCTGTATCACTGGGAGGTTCCATATCACTCCCACTCAGCCAACACTGAGAGGAACGTGAAACTGACATTGTTGTACATGTGGTCTTTCCTGTGTGATAGCTTTATTGACATATAATTCACATACAATCCATCCATTTATTTTGTCCAAGTCAATAGCTCTTAGTATTCACAGCACTGTACGATCATCGCTGCATTTTATCACCCTAAAAAGAAACCCTGGTCACATGGCAGTTACTCCCCATTTGGCCTCAAACTCCCCAGCTGCTAGTAACTGCCAATCTGCTTTCTGTCTCTCTGGACTTGCCTACTCGTGACATTTTTCTCTGAAAGAAATCTTGCAAATATAAGGCCTCTTGTGTGTCTGGCTGGCGACACTGGCTAATGAAAACACAAGCAAGTTTTCATGCATCCTGCATGCTGTAGTGTGCATCAGCATTTTGCTGATTTTTGTAGACATAAAACATTTATTTTATTTATCCATCAGTCAGTGGGCACTTGGGTTGACTCCATTTGGAGCTGTTATAAATAACGCTGCGGTGAACATTCCTGTACAAGTTTTACACACAAAATCTTGAACCTGATCGGTAAGCGAAGCTCACATTGCCAGGAAATGTCTATTTGGGACATAGACACTGTTTAATTTTATCAACTCAGGACTCCAAAGTATGAGGCCAAGATTCAAATTTCCCCCATTCTGATGCCAAAATGCCTGTTTCTAATATTGCTTTACTCCTTTCTAGGCTTAGAGATCAAAGAGGGAAAGTCACTCGAGACTTTGAACAGACTACTGTAGTATAAGGAAAACACTTACTTAGACCCCTGTCAGCTGATCCTGACCACCTTGCCAAAAGTCTGCTACACCTTAACATGTGGCTCCCTGGAGAATATATTTCAAGGGGCAGAAGGAGGTTCCTCAGAGCATAGCAGGACAGTATTCTCAAGAGCTAGTTCTAGCTGGGCATGGTGGGGCATACCTTTAACCCCAGAACTCTAGGATGCTGAGGCAGGAGGATTGCAAATTCAACCTTAGCTTGGACAACTTAGAGACTTGATTGCCCTGTCTTAAAATTTAAAAAGCAAAACTTAAAAACAGCTGGGAAAACAGCTCTGTCGAGAGCCATTCTACATAATTGCGGGGGGGGGGATCATTCCATAATTAAATTATGATCACGGCTGTCTGAGGCCTCATGTCCTGGCCCGTAAGCAAGTCCAGCTACGGCATGCAGAAACATAACACCATTTTGCCTCTGGTCACAGCTGAGGCCTCAATGATCCCATGAGTCTGTGACATTCAAGAGCAACTGAAGATATCCTGGTTCTTTGAGAACTGAGGA